TTTTTCTCCTAAAAAATTGGTTTTTGAGAACAAAGCGAAAAAATCGAGTTTTTTTCGATACGGGGGTCTCAAAACGCGTTATTTTCTAGGGCTAAACCCATTCAAAAGAAGGATTTTTTTTTGCAGATCGATAGAAGACACTATACCAAGTATATGCATGAATGAAAAACAAAAAATCGGAAGAAAACATTTTTCACGTCAGGAAAGGGGAAGGTGTATCCTTAAAAACGATTCTAAAGGTTAAATCGAGGGTTCCTAGATGTGAAACTCGAAAATCCGGAATTCAAATCTCAAAATCCAGAACAAATCCGGACAAAATCTCAAAATCCCGAAAAATAAACATAAATCTAGAAATACTGAAAAAATCCAGAAAAACGTTCAAAATCTGGAAAATCTCGTAACACTGGTTACTCGTTCCCAAAATTGTTGGGAAGTAGGATTTTATAAGGTACCCCCCCCCCCAATTTTTGGTTGCTCGCGACAGCCCTGTTCATAAACGAAATCACAACTTTTTTGTTAAAAGGGAGGACAGAGTCAAGACGTTTTGCTGAACAAAAGGAAAGTTTTTTTTTTTAACACAAATAGACAATTTAGTTAGTATTAACTATTTGCCGACAAAATTTCTACACACCAATGCAAGACTGACAAAACTTCAGTAGACTACGTAAACAAGCTAAATGCTTAAAAGTTAATCAATCTTGTTGGTCCTGTGTTAGCATGTAGACATTTTCTCAGTAAATTATTATTAGTCTAAATTTATGTCTCTATTCTTTGTTCTGCTTTGCATACGTAATTAGCTCTTTATTGCAGAAACCCTAAGCCACTGAAAGGACTAAATGAAATTCATTGAGAAAAAAATTATGACGATAAACCTTAACAACTCGATGGAACAAGGCTCAATCCGTGGGTTATATTTTCATTTAAAAATTTTTTTGCACCAATTCATTGATAACTCTACTGTGAAAAAATATCAAAAAGTTTTACTATTACAGATTAAATCAACAAACAAGGCTTAAATAATTCTAAAAAAAAAGAAGAAATTCCCACATATCGAAATGTTTACTTTTCAAAGCGAAAATTAAACTACAGAACTTCAATTTAAATTTTATAATCCTAATTCTACTCAAAACGATTGCTTTTCTTTAAAAGATATCTATTATTTATATACATCATCGAGAGTTTTTTTCTTCATTATTTAATATCCAAAACAGAAAGATAATCATTGCATACAATTTTAAAAACAAAATCTAAAAGAATCGCAAGATTTTCAATAATAAATAAATAAATAATTTATTTTACTTTATCACATATCTACAACAAAGCGAAAGATTTGAATTTATTATTAAATTCAATTTGAAACAATATATATATATAGCGAAGTCAAGCAAAAAAAAAGAAACAAATACATTTCACAGTTATTTACAATTATTCTCTGTCAATTATAAGTTGAGCTATATATTGACCTTTATGTACATTACTAAAATCAGTTTGAATTTTATTAATTATATTCTCATTAATACATCCAATTAATTTTTCATCTTTTGATAAATGAAAATAAAATAAAAACTTTCGTAATAATGGTAAACGAATATTAATTATTGCTGCTAACCAATCATAATATTCAATAGATTCTCGAATATTTGATGAATAATTTCTACGATGTATTTCAAGGTATTTTAAATTCGGTACACATTCTAAAAATCCACTTATTATATAATCATCATAGAACCAATCGAAATCTCGAAGTTCAATTATCATATGTTTAAGATTTTCATGTGATGGAATATCTGTTGATATTCCATTCGATGAATATAATACAAATTTAAAAAAATATAAATTTGGACATGCAGTTAGAATTGTTTTATATACAACTGAATCAATAAATTGAGCTTTT